CTACCAACTTTTACTTTTTCAGAATCACTTTTTTCTCAAACACTACCAACTTTTACTATTAATCACTTTTCCCCAAATCACTTTAAAAAATCACTTTTTTAAAGTTGAAGCAATTGCAAACACTCCCTAAACCACACGAGGTGGGGGAGTGCCGGGGAACATCTCCCTAATTTATTAAATAAAGTCTAAACTGGTACAAAAGGGAAGAAAAAGTAAGGGGGGAAAAAGTATAGGGGAAATAATAGTACATTAGTAGTTGAAATTTTTTGTAGGGATTCCGAGTGATGCTGAGATAGCTCTATTGTATTTGTTGTGAAATTTGATTGCTCTCTGAAGATAGGGCTGGAAAGTGTTTCTTTCCGGGTGGTATTTTATATAGCGCTTGAGAGCATTCGCCAATTTTTGTGGTGAGTCAAATTTTTCGTCAACCGGGTATAGAAAATAGTCCGTTGCGTTTTGTGGTTTTTTGGACTGACTCCTGGTGACCATGGGGTGCGAGGTATATCCCACATGGTAAAATAGTTGGGTGTCCCTTTCTTCATAAGTTGGGATGAGTACCGAGCTCGTGTTTTTATTTCTTCTCCCTTTCACCGTTGTAAAGTCATCAGGGTCATCTTCTCCATTGGTACCTGCGGTTACCGCCTGGTTACAGGTAGCCACTTGGGGTTCATCAAACTTAAGTGCATCAGTAGGGGCATGATTATCAGCAACACAAGCAACTGGGCCAACCTTAGCTACAGGTGTAGCATCAATAGCATTTAAGTCTACGGGGCCAACCTTAGCTGAAGGTGTAGTTTCACGGGCATCAAAATGGACAGTGGGATCGGCAGCAGATCCTAAGATAGACAGGAGTCAAAAGCTTCAATAACATGGTCATCACACACTGAATCAGGTACATCAGTGTGACCAACTAAATCACAGGGGGAGGAATGGTGTTCTAAACCAACCATAGACAAATCATGGGTAGCATTGAATCCAATTGCATCACAGGGGGAGGGATGTTCTGAAGCAACCAAATGAGGTGGTTGTTGTTCAGAAGCAACCACAGAATTATCAGGGGTAGCATTGAAACAAACAACATCACAGGGAGGGGAGGGGTGTTCAATAACAGCATTTTCAGCAACAGAAATTCCAGAGAACTCATCACAACCACCTGCCACTGGAGCATCACAACCTAGAGAGGCAGCAATTGGGGTCGTAACAGGAATGAGCACAGGGACAGTTGAATCATTAGTATTAATACAGATCATGGGGGCATCAGGAATGTTAACAGTAGGGACTGATGCACTTTTTTCAGTTTGCAAAACCTGGCTTTGTGACCGGGGGCATTCTGTAAATGAGTGGCCAAACCGAGAGCAGGTGTGGCAGAACAATGGTAATTTTTCATAAAGTATATTCTGAAAAAATCCAGTACCACCATTTCCTATCCAAATTTTTTGGGGAAGTTCAAGTGAAGTATCAATTTCAATACAGATCCTGGCGGTTGAAGGCCTTGAAAAATTGGCAGTAGGGGTGTCGATTTTTATAGGTTTCCCCAGTAACGTAGCTATAGAGAAAAGGGCCCGAATATCATGAAGGTGTATTGGCAATCCTTCAAGTGACACCCAAACTGGGGCGAGAGGGGAGTCGCGGTCAATGGAGAAAGAGGGAGTCCAACGGGTGACCAACATCTGGTACCCAAAGAAATCCCAGACAGATTTTTCCCAAAATCTTTGGAAATCGAGGTCGGATTTGAAATTTATCAGAACAGTATTCCGATGTAGGAGGCCGACAGAGTAAGGTTGGCAAAACCCTAGTGCGGCGAATGCTTTTCTAATCGCTGGGATGGGGGGCCTCCCAGACGGAAATGTACCAACGAGGGCGTATTTGAACGGAAAGGAGAGAACATGTATGTTGTCATTGGAGAAGGAGACCGCCGGGTGGCCTTGGAAGGAACCAGACGAGCCCAGGCCTAATGCGTCGCAGAAGGAAACCGGTTGGGAGTGCAGTTGGTGGCCAGGGACTGGGTCCCTTACCGCCGCTGCATACGATGCCTTAGGCGGTTCAGTCGTCGGTCCTAATCCTTCCGCCGGCGGCATCACTGCCGCTCAGGCTTCGGGAGATCGACTCACGCGACACTCAACCTTAGAGAGTGAGATAGATGACTTTTTTCTTTTAATTTTGTTTTTGTCTTTCTTATACAGTTATACTAGTACTAGCATGGTAGCGCGCGTTGCGCGAAATCCATGCCCAACAATGGAAAACAAGCAATAAAGCAATGCAAAAACAATTAAAATAAAAAACAAAAAAGAGTAGTTCAATTATGGCAGTTGCACCATTGTTTTAATCCTTGCCCTTTGGCAAAATTGATACAAAATGAACACATTTTCCTTTTGTTAACACCCTATTTTAAAATGTAAACAAGGTCAGAAACAATGAAATAAAGTAACATAAAAACAACCGAAAAGGGAAATCATAGATCAGTGGCACAAAGGATGATCTCTATCAACTTGCCTGCACATTAGTCTCCCCAGCTAGGCCTATGAGTTTCGACAGATACCCAGGTAACTGCTTCCATGAGTTTATCCACACCAACCATATCCCAGATCGGCATACGAGATATATTTCTTTATCATGTCAACAATCTGGTAGTACAATATTAGTAGTTTAAAAGCAAATAGTTTGACTGGACAGGATTCTTATCAAAAATCGATCTAAAGTTGGATACATTTTCAAACAACTTCAAATGTTTAAGCATTACTATTGTTCTCATACTAATCTAATATCTGAAAGCAGCAACTGCTCTGCAGACTGCAGGTACACATCGAGTGAAGACAACCCATGCAGACAATTATAAAAAGAGAAAGATAATATTTTTTCACTTAGAAAAAAAGTCAGTCCTTTTAACTAATTAATACATCTGATTTTGATCTGAGCTAAGCCATGTGAGAGTCCCATAAACTCAGCCCCATTTTCTAATCACAACAACCCTTAACTGGCAAGAGGAAAATGGAAACCTATCAGCCAACCTCCTATAAATGAATCCTACCAACACTCTTTCTTTCCAACTCTCAGATCCATTCCAACATCTAACAAACACTCCACTCCCAAAAGAGCTCAGCTCAAACTTCCATTCCGAACAAAACACAAAGAACAGATAGTATATATGGCTATCAGAGTGCCATATATACTGGTTTGACAACATATACCAATATAGTAGCATTCTATAACAAAATAGAGTTTGACAAACATGCAACAAGAGCAAAACAATTCCAAGTGATGAATGAAAATATACCCTTGAGAGTGCAACTTCTCTATTATTGAGATTGCTTCAATGGCAATACAAGCTACCATTTGAATTGACTTCCTGATTAAAGGAAACGAGCATGTTGTAATAGATGAGAGAAGCATGAAATATGATCCTTACCATTTATGTTAAGCAAATTAATTCCATATGACAACCATACAAATAAGTTATGTGGATAAAGCTTCACTCTTCACTACAATAATAATATTCACATAGGCTTAATCTATTTGTGGAGCTAATAATCTTAAAGAATAGTCTTTTTTTAAGGAATTAAATTCATGAAATGTATGTATGTAAAAGTATTAAAAATGTATTAACGAATTATTTAGATTTTCTTTTAAGAAAAAGTATTTAATTGTCTAAAACTGCATTTTCATTTACAAATCATCAACCTTCCCTTTCTTTTCGCTCTTTTCCCTTTTGTGAAAGGAGAAGGCATTATTAATTCAGAAGATAAATAACCAGCTTGTTGACAGTATAATCAAGCCGAATAAAATAGCTATATGTACAACATGGTTTAGAGCAACACGATTATCCTAGCAAGAGCAACACGATTATCCTAATTTCTTTTCAGTAATTATATTTTTTAATTTCACAATTCTTGATTCATGATGTTTTTTCCAATTAACTTACACTCACACACCATAATTTTGTATTATTCTATATCAGTATATTTTGGAAATATTTAACCCTATCCCCGAGGACTCAATATCAGTTTGATAGTTTAGCTAACTTGACTCCATCAAGTTTATCTATTTACTAAATAGTTTTGGTCAATATACATGAATTGAATTTTGCATTGTTATAGAAGGTAAAATGTTAGCAAAAATGACAACAACTAAAAACTATTAAGCTATAATTCGAGCCAAGTTAGTGATGTTCTATAACAGATAGAGAGAGAGGGTTATTACAGAAACAACAGAATAAGGTTAGGTTACATCCACATCTACTTGCATCTATTAAACAAGCTCAACAGAATCCCGTATTCCCGTGAAATGCCAAGAAAACAAATAGCAATGTACACCTAAAGATTAAAATTTAGAATACTAAAGAGAGTTAATTGTATTAAATTGAAACACCTCCAGACCATAAAAGGAAAATGTAAGAATGCAACAACATTCAATAGAAAAATACATGTATAAAACAATAGTTATATTCATGATATTGAGAATTTTAAGCATAAAAATACATGTATAAAACAATAGTTCAATATTCTTGATCTTAGAAGGGAATCAGAAATTAAACCTAACTAATGAAGCTGTTCTGGAGCACGTAATGACAACACATAATAATAATTCAAGTGAATCAATTATCCATGAATGATGGTAGCAGTTTATATGTGATGCAAGTGCAGAAGTTTAACATATACTATGTATGATTTACCTCATCCAAAGCTACCGGCCTCCAAGTTTGCGCTGATTATTTTCATAAATTAAACATGTACACGGTTTATTCTTAAATAAAGTTACACCTCTTTAAAAGCTAATTAGATTAAGGAGAAAAGGGGTTCTAAAATTCAACTTCAATAGAATTCTACGTTCTAATCAAGCAGTAGACTAATTCATCAAATCAATGACATATCATCGATCTCTTCTTATGAAAAAACAAATCATTATACAATATAATATGAATTGTGACATGAGATCACCAAATTTTTCCTTCTTAAGCAATTGTGCACTTCACAAAGTTATGCTCAAAGGCTCAAAGTGAGTTACTGCGATATACAAATGTGGCCAAAGCATATATTTAATGCCAAGTCATTCAAAAGATAAAAACATAGTGTGGAATTTCTATTGGATCCAACAGCAACAAAAAATTAAATACAAAACAAAAATACCATCAAGCACATGCCATCGGAAAAAGAGAAAAGAAGAGCTAGTTGACCTGAAATCAAGTTCACTAAAGCTGTGAAACTGTCCATATTCTAATCCTATGATCTGGGCATTCCTGTATACTTCAATCATTCATTGCCAGTTACAACTTGTAATAAAATTCTAGCACAAGTTAGAAATTGTAAACACTCGTACTCGACGAAACCAGGGAATTGTAGCTAATGTCCTGACCTTAAAAAGGTGAAACCTTCATAAGAGAAATTTCCAAAGCATACCAGGTGTGGAGAGGCGATGAGCTCATTATCCAGATAGGCACAGACCAAGCAAAAACTTGTATTACCATTTCACAGAGTATAAGTGGAATTGGAAAATAGAAGAAAAGGGGGAAATAAATGAGTAATAAATGAGCAGAGAGCTAACCAAATCGTTTGGGGAGCAACCGTCAAGCGGGAATATGGAGGCAGGAAGAGGAGAGATTGGACAACAAGTGGAGTGGTCTGAGACATGAGCATCACACTAAAGATAGAGCTTTGAACCGTCGCTTAGTGGAGTGATCCGCTCCTATTGATTCGCATACCTCTGTAATGACCAATGATTGTCCCTAGCCAAGAATCCCTTTCCCTTCATTAATTTATTTATACCACATTAGTCCAAGAATCAGAATTTGAAACCTCAATACAATAACACTTTAATAGTTATAATTTAGTTCTTTCTGTCTTTCACTCAATATAGATACATAGTACTCCATGCTAAGTAAGAGTGTATCCTCACTCATTCATGAGTTGCCATATAAGATGTTAAGTACAAAGAACATAAATACAATGGGCAAACTGACATAAGTACAAAGGGCAAAAGATTACTTGTGTCAGTATTAATGGTCATATAGTCAGCACGAGAATGTTTTTTTATATCCTTTACTCGGCCATTGAAACATTAAATTAAGCCAAGTAAGAACAGAAAAGTAAATTAAGCCAAGCACGAACAGACAAAGCTTAAGCCAACTCATAAAACTGAATTTCAACTGAAAAACACATTAAACTGTTATAATAAGATAACAACATTCATAATAATAAAAAGTGTATTTTTCAGTTTGATTATAACTAAAGGTTGGATATTTAGTTTAGCCATAAAAGAGAGTGTACAATTCATTTCTTAAATAGCAATAAGGGTTTTATTAATAACAAGGGCATCATAATAGCAAGTGATTGTTTCTTAAAATCTTTAAGCTATCACATTGTAGTTATGCAACAAATAATAAATATCACAATACTTTTCAACAGGACCGGTCCTGGCATTTTATGGGCCCGGGGCAATGAATAAAAGTGGGCCCTTAAAATAAATATGAATATTATAAATTCTGAAGATAAAAATTGTGAAATAAAATATAAGACCCATATGTTAGGATGTTTACGTGGTTATGTGGTAGAGGACTGGACATCTTCCTTGAAGGTTATTAGTATCTGAATATTTATGAGTATAATATATGAAGTACGTATGTGTCCATTAAAATTATTAATATATACAGTAAGTATGTGTGTCGTGTAGGGTTAATCACAAAAAGGAGAGTAGAAAGACTAACACCATGGTCATACTAAAATAACAAATCATTTAATGAAAAGCATTGATATTTGATAGCATTTAATTTAATAACTGTAATTGCATTGGAATCAAAACGTCATGTAATTCCAAGACCAAATTAATATTGAAGCGTGAGTTGCTGCCGTTTGCATGAATATATATTTTACTATATATATATAGAATTATGGGCCCGGGGCACAAGCCCGGGTTGCCCTTGCTTAGGGCTGGGCCTGCTTTTCAGAAAAATCGTATGTAAATAATAAATCAAGTTTTAAATTGATATTACTCCGTATAACTCTATTGACAAGTTCCAAAAAAACACGAAAGAGAGCCACTCACCTATCCTCCACTAACTATTGTAGAGAGCAAAATTGATTGTCTAAATCTCCCTCTGTAGCTTCTATTGCCGTAGAAGAATAAAGAATAGATGGATAGATTGCTTTTTTGGGATCAATTTTTGGATGACTGAGAAGCATTCTACCGGCCAAGATTGATGATAAAAAAGAGGAATTGCGCTAAACTCGGACTACATTGTCTTACTTCCTCCGTTCCTTCACTTCGATCTTTGTCTAGAACCAAAAAGGCTGAAAAGATCGAAGCAAACAAGGCTGAAAAAATCGAAGCAAACAAGGCTGAAAAAATCAAAGTGGTTCAAATTGAAAATACACTACATAAAACTATTGGCAATTTTGGAAAACCTTCTCTGCAATCCGTGGGAAGTGGTTCGGAGCTGGCTGGGCCTTCTCGGCAATCCACAAAGACTACACTCCGCTTCCATGTCTTCTGACCGAACGATAGGGGAATATGTTCAGCTGAGGCCATAGCCGGCTACCAGTCCAACAAGAAGACTCGCCCAACCTTCAGCATCCAGTCTATCAATTTCAAAGGCAAACCTTTGGTCCATGACCCAAAGGCCTATATACTCTCCATCAACTCCCACCCATATTAAATATCCATTCAGGATCTTTATAACAAGAGACTGTTCCGGAGGGTTGAAAATGATTTTCATGTGTCTATTAATCAAGAAACTTTAAACAAAAATGAGAAAAATGAAACAATGATGCAAAATGTCCACAGCAAGAAATGGCAAAAACACTTCAAACCAAATATGATCTCCTAACCTTTCCCAAATGTGTGCTTGTAGCATAGTTCATGAGAGAGGAAGTACCTGGAAAACTCAGAGCAAGACCAGTACAACATCCAGCTACACCAGCATTAATTACTGCAAGGAGAGAAAAAGCATTTCGATATGTTAAAGAAAGTCATTTGAGAGAGTAAATGCTTTTTCAAATTGATGGAACCTACCATCATCATTTCCCCTAAGCCTCTTCAGAAAGCAAACCACAACACTGTGTACTCTGGACAGTACTGCAAATGTCTAAAGTGGAAGGGGTATTGTAAATGTGATACTCAATATACAGCCACAGTCTAACAAATTCACATGTATGTAGTGATATTTTATTAGTAAAATTATTTGCTAACAAAAATGAGGGTTCAAATACCTTTGCAGATGACCCTGCCTCTGCAAAAGACCCTTTGAAGCCCTTCTTTTTTATCAAACCTGCACCTGATAGATTCGGGAATAATGGTGTAACCCCCCATGCAATTAAATTATAAATATTAGAGGTACAATTGGATCCGAGGAAATGCTATGAAAAGGTAAAGAACTGCTAGGGGAGTAGTTTTCTTATACAAATTTTACCTTGGGCAATGATATAGGATTATTCGTTTAATTCATCACCATTACGCCTTCTCTAGAAAATTGAAGCCTTTCTTAGTAAGCCATTTCTACCTTTCTTTTACTCTTCATATTATTTAAATGAAGCAACAATGAATTTAACAGAAAGATAGATAATCGAATGAAAAACAAAATAAAAGAAGAAATCCTACTTCAGGTAGGTGATGTATTCACTTCTAAAACATCCACACTCAGTCTTAATTTATGTACTGGGATGACAAATTGGTATTGCTACAAGCATGGGTGTCTCATAGAGAGCTTTAGTAAGCCACAATCAGGAAAAAATGGGCAGAGTTTCAACTCTTCAAAGTCGTACCTGTTGGTGCTAGGGTTATCAGAACTCCCAATTAATAAGCAAACAGATATAAATTGTGAATAAACAAGGAAAAGGAAATGGCATGAACAAGGGAAATGAAATGAAATAGAAAGAAAATTATACAAATGAGAAGAAAACTACCATGGCAGCTCATTTCAGACCCGGAGCAATTCTTGGCAGAAGATGATGAGTGGCCGTCCATGAGGAGTTCCTTTGAGAACAAGACGATGCAACCCTTCATCCACCGAGTCTGTCTCTAAGAGCTTATTTGCAACGGCAACGAGGTATTGTCTCGTTTGTTGGCCGAAAGGTTATAGAAGGGGAGATGAGAGAAGATTTCCGGAGAGCAAATGATGATAGAAGATGGGCGATGTTGAGATGTCGAGTGAGGGGAGAAAACGAGAGGCTTCTTTTAATCACGTCCAGCAAACGGAGGTACCAAACGGAGGCTGTAAACAGGGCTAATAATCAGAGACGGCAATAACGGAAATGGAACAACTAACTTTCTTAGGCACTTAATATATATAGTAAGATGTAAATTGATACCATAGTAGGTAGTACTCCCTCCGTCCCTAAATAAACTTCCAACTTTCCTTTTTTGTCCGTCTCAATTAAAACTTTCACTTTCCCTTTTTTGCCAGAATTTGTGGTTCACAATATTTCTTACACATTTCTCTCTTCTCTGCACAACTCTCCACCACACAATACCCACTATCTTAAACTATGTGTCAAACATATCTGGAAGTTTTATTAGGGACAGAGGGAGTATCATTTTAATTTTTTTTTTGTTCACTTTTGGATTTTCCAAAAACGGAAAAGAAAAAGGCAAAACAAAAAAAAACAAATTTCTAGGAAAGCTACTTTTATCACTCTTGATGAAGTGATGAAGCTACTTTTATTTATATTTGAAAAAAGAATTTGATTTTACATAATCCACGGCATCCGCCAAAATAAGGCCTGTCTCCGAGTCTCCGGTATTGAACGGTAGTGTCGAGGTGTGTGAGTAGGGATGGCAATGAGGTGAGTTTGGAGTGGGGTATACTCCCCCATCCCCGCCCCATGTCTAAAAAGTTCCCCCCATCCTCGCCCCATCCCCCGTTACTCCCAGACCCGCCCCATCCCCGCCCCACCCCATTGTCCCCCACGGGTGCCCCCATGTAGATTTAATTTATCATATTTGCATATACTTTTAATCTCTTATTATAAATATATATATATATATATATATATGTAGTGCGATTCCAATGAAAACGATGGTTAACGGGGGAACACTCACATTTAATCCAATGTGATACACAATAGAGTCATTCTAGTGCACATTTGGACTTCGCTCAATACAAGCTAATATAAATAATCACGGTGACACTTTTGTAAATATTATGCTAGATAAAAAAAGTGCATTGTGCGAGCCCATTGTTCTTCACATTGGGGGTAAATGTGGTGTTCGCACGTTCTCATGTTAAACGTTGTTCTCATTTGATCCTAAACCTATATATATCTACGCGCGCACAGTGATATATGACACACACACACACACACTGAAGTATTGTGTTTGTTAAAAGTTAATACCACCAATTTTAATAATTCTTCAATTTGAATAAGTTTTGTGAATTGAAGACAATTAAAGTAAAAAATATAAGTAAACATATTATCATCATGTACGTTGTTTCAAAATTCTCAACAATTATAATACAATTAATTACATACTATGTATTATATTACATAAAAATGTGTGTGTATTTATTTACTCACTTTCTCACTCTTAAAACTCATATACGAAGTAACATTTATGATAAATATTTTTAATAATCACTAGCTTATTATTATTCTAGTATAATATATGTATTAATTCATTAACCATGATTAAATCATATACAATTATGTATGTCTATATGTATATGCGTTTGTTATATACTACAAATAATTTAATTTAATATGTGTGTACATTATTTATATGTGTGTGTGTGTTAGTGTGTGTGTGTGTTTGAGTATATATTTATAACGGGGATGGGGCGGGTGTAGCAATACCCGTCCCCCGTCCCATATTTTAACGGCGTAAAAATATTTCACCCATCCTCGCTCCCGCCCCACTCGATCCTTCCCCCGCGGGGCGGTTCCCCACGGGTCCCCGCCCCCATTGCCATCCTTATGTGTGAGCACCGTGCTAAATCTTGTTGACCTTCTCAAAATGAAAAGAGCTAAATCGGTAATGAAAAGTGAAAACCCCAACCACCTTTTACTATAAAAATAAGAGTTTTCAAAGAGTTTTAGTATAAATCCAAAAGAAAATTATTCTCAACCAAAATTCATTACAGATTACTTAGAGCATCTCTAATGGTTTGGTTTGAGGACTTGCTTACAATTTTAAAGCTAATAATTTGTCATGGGAACATTGTTTTTCCTTTTGCTTGAGATATGTAATAATTAGCCTAAATGAGCTACTAACTTGATAAAGTAAAATTATTAAATAAAGCATTACTAATAATAAATGAAGAGGAAATTGCTATAGTTAACCATTGTATAGTACATTTCAATTTTGCTACAAATGCTTATGTGACTATGCAAGCTACGAGTTGAGAGCAATTAGCTAACGGCTGGAGATCGATGCTCTTATATTCCAAAAGCTTGTTTATATGTAGTACTATGTTTTAAGATAGATAGGAGTATTAATCACTACAAAAAAGAAAAGATAGAATATTAATTTTCTAGCTAACACATTAATTAATTTAAGATAGAAAATTTGTTCAGTACATCACTACCTCTCAAAATTAAGTACGTTTCGAGACCCTAGTTTTTTAAAACCGTCTTATATACGAAGTATATAGGATGATGATGCCTTATCATTTAGTCTAGTATGTTTGTTACTCCGTATATTTCTTGTTACATTTGTTATTTAGTCTCTTGTAAAATTATAATTAGAATAAAATGAGAAAAAAGTACATTACATTTTTTAAAATTAATGTAACAAGCTCATTTGATGCAATTTTTTGAGTTTCCGTCTAGATCTAGTTATGCGGTAATCTGCAAATCTCCAATCGATCTATGTTGTTGATTTTACTTCTCTTCTATTTATGTTTGTTTCTGAAATCATTCTCATTTTCTAATGGATCTTCAATCATTTTCGATTTTTGTTTTCTCGTTTTAATGGCCATTGTTCTTCATCCTCAACTTTGTTTTTTTTAAATGCAAAATTTTGTTTTAAAAATGCTATAAAATGGCATTTTCACTCTTCAAAAATGTCATTTTTTACTTTGAAAATGCCATTAATATGTCATTTTTATGCAAAGTGGCATTCTTAGAAAAAAAGTGGTATTTTATTTTGGTCATGAACAATGCCAATGCTGAGACATGGCATAGGCTGACGGCTGTGGAAGATGCTGCCATCATTAACTTCCCACCATCACTGACGTTTATTTCTAACCACGCACATGGGAGCGCGAGAATGATAAGGATAAATGGAATAGGGAGATTAATTATGGGAGGATGAAACTTTTACTCCCATTAATGCAATTTAACTATTATTTAGTCCTATTTAGGGAATAATCCCTTACTTTCTTATACTTTTGAGATTCTATGTATAAGAAAGACTAATTTGGTAATCAGATATTTTTATATTTCATTTTTACTTCCTTTTTATTAATTTTCGGTTAATTTATTTTAAAACATTCATACTCTGTATTAAATTTTGTCTTTTTCTGATCATTCTGGATCTTGAAATATGAAACAATGACACTAATATTACTTCCTAAGTTTCCAATTCAAAAAATGTCACCACTTTATTTTTTTCAAAATATTGACCGCTCAACTAACGACACTGTAGCACCGTCACTGTAGCACCGTTACTGTAGCGGCTAGTTAGTGCTTTCAGACACTTTTTTAGAAATTTAAATAAAAGGTTACTTTTTTGTCAAGCATCCTCTTATTAGTAATATTGAGGTCAAAACCCCTTGAAATATGCCATAATAATATTTATTTCTTTTTCCGAAATTAATTTGAAAGTAGTTTCAATTCACATTTATGAAACTACAATTATCAAGATGACTAAATATTAGCTTGAATAAGCCACATATATAATGCGGGAAGAAGAAAATGTTTCATTCATACGCTGATAATATAACCATTTTTTGACAAAACTGATACTTAATCATCAAGATCCCGTTTGTTAATTAGGAAATACTATTAAAAAAGCAGTCTCTCCCTCTCTAGGGTTTTGTTCTTCCGCTTTCGTCTTTTACGAAGAGCGATCGTTGGCTGATTTAGTCGTGCTAGCAGGCTCGTGACCAGGGATGCAACGCTTTGGCGGTCGTGACTTGTCTTTTGTTGTTGTTTTCTGGTCGAGGAGCAGGGTAGACAAAGAAAAGACCGATAAGTTATGGTGGAGCTTGGGTTCGATTCAGCAGTAAGGGATATATATGGAGGATATTGTCAATCAATACAAAAGTATGACTATTGAGGCGGATGAATGGCGGGCTCACCCCCCTCCTGAGCCACCGTCATAGAGTGCAAGAGAGTCTAGGGTTTTAACAAGATGATTGAATTTTGGTTTAATTCTGTTTTATTTTGTTTGTGTTTTTCTTTCGAATTGCATGTTGTTTTGGGTGTGTTCTTATTTTCTAATACAAAATTTTAAGAATATAGGTGAGGTGATGAAACTCCGGTCTTTAAGGATGGAACTCCAGATCTTAACATGGTATCAGAGCCAATTCCGGATTCCGGTTGTGGTTTGAGTGCTTGTTTAGTACCCATGATTAAGGGTAGCTTGTTAAGGGCTTGTTTGGCCCGTTTATACACCCCAATTTTGTTCAGCCCGCGTGTTGAAGCATTTGTCCCACACCAGAAAGCTATAAAACAATTAAACGCTATATAAGGCTTTGGGCTACTCCTCCTATCAGGTTGACCTTTTAGGATGAAACCCCGAGTCTTAACATTTCCAAATGAAAGACATGCTAAAAGCTTTTTTTTGTGTGTTTTGCAGACTATGGAGCCCCACGCAGAAACGGTAACGGACAGATGACTGTTAAGTAGAGAAAACTTTGGTTTGCACTGAGCGTGTTTTCGTTTGTTCTTGTCGGGTTGATTTTATGGTTCACCCATAAGAGTAACCACCTTTTGCAGGCATTGGTCAGCTGGGTCTGGACCTTTCTTAACACGTTTTCAAAAAACAAAATGAAAAGCAAAAAAAAATACTAAAACTAAAGAAGATCATCTTTCCTACTGGATACTAATAGGTGCCGGTTTCTTTTACCTATTTTGTCTACTTGGTGTTTATCTACGGGGTAACCTCAAACCCCGAAAATTCCCTCGACTTGTTAGGTGGATTTTCGATTTTGGATTTGTGGTTATCTATTTTGCTATTTCTGACT